TGAATGTCTGCTGGAAGCATGGACGGATCCCAACTCTTGGAAGCAGGTGTTGGAGGCCCGACCATATAGACAAGGCAGGACCTTCTTCTCAACGAATTGTAAGCATCTCTGATGGTTGACATGTGACCTGCCTGCCCCACACCCAGTCATAACTTGTATTGCTGCCATAATAAATACCACAGGTTAGCTTAAAAGAGCACAAGTTTATTATTTTACAGTTCTAGAGACTAAAATGGATCTCACTGGGCTAAAAAAGTGTCCAAATCTTAATCTCCGGGACCTGCAAATATTACTGACATGGCAAAGGGAACTTTGCAGATGTGGTTAAATTAAGGATTTTACAATTCAGAGATTATCCTGGATTATCCAGTGGGCTCAATGTAATCACAAGGGTTCTTTAAGGGTCGGAGAAGGAGAGGCGAGGACAGACGCAGAAGTTAGAGTAATGCAGCCACAAGCCAAAGAATGCAAGCGGCCCCTAAGAGCTGGAAATGAATTTTGCCCTAGACCCTCCATAAGAGGAATGCAGCCTTTACAACACTTTGATTTTAGCTCCTTAAGACCCGTTTGGACTGCTGACCTCCAGAACGGCAATATGATATATCTGTGTGTTTTGTTACAGCAGCCTTAGGAAACTCATACATGGTCACCTTGGCCCAGCCCTTTATCAGAAATGCATGGCAAGCAACAGTCCTTCAGAAGAGAGCAAGGATGGGCTGGCCTGCGCTGGCTTGTATCCCGGACTCCCAGGATGCTGGAAAGGGCCAGAGGCCGGACTCCTTTCCCTGGTTAGATGAGGTTAAGGGCTGACAAAAGGGAAGAACACAAGAAGGCAGTGGCCTTAAGATGACTAGAACTTTACCAAACCCTGTGGAAGGACTCAGAGGCTGATGGGTCTAGATCCCAGGCTAAAGTCTAAAGTCCTTCAGCTGGGCAAAGTGTCAGTACTAATAGAAGGCATCGGGGCTGGGGAAAGAACACTGGACTGTGAGTCCTACCTGAGCCTGGTCCTGCCATTGACTGGCCAGGAGAGCTCAGGCAATTCTCCACCCTCCTCTGGGTCTCAGTTCCTCAGTGAGTTATCGGGGGCTTAAAACGTTTTGTTGTTTTTTTAAACAGCAGACTCCTTTTTTCAAACAAAATCTTTCTTGTGTGACTTAAATTTGTTATAATGAATATTTATAATAACAGCAAGCAATTAATCTGGACTTGCTTCATCCCAGACACTCTTCTAAGCACCTTATAAATCCAAATTGATTTAAACGTTTAGCACTCATAACAAATCAATAGGTGCACTCTATCATCTTCATTTCACAAATGAGGGGATGGAGACGCAGAAAGGTTAAGAAATTTGCTGAAGGTCACCCAGCCAGGGAGTGGCAAATTCTTGATTTGAGCCCATGCACTCCAGATCCAAAGCGGAGGGGGACAGGCAGGAGGAGATTTCGCTGGAGGTTAAGTCGAGATACACAGTAAAGAGCTGAGAAATGGGGAAGGACAGAGAGGGAGTGGGGACCAGCATGAGCCGGAAAGATCGTTTTGGAGTCTGGTCACTGTCTTCACAGCTGTGGGTGCTGAGAAAATCGGGGAAGGAGGAAGAACAGGGTCTCTGAATGGGCTGAATGTGGAGCCTGGGCCCCAGCGTTTACCAGGGTTTGGGTTACACTGACGGACCTACTATGGGAAACTGATCAGAGTGGGGCCAACATAGGGAGGCAGAGCGTCTCATGCCTGCGTCCTCCCTTCTGTCATCCTCCACCCCAGGTCCTCAATCATTTGGCATCCTCCACCTCAGGCTCCAAGGACCAAGACCACCTCCATTCGATCAGCTTCTCTGACCGCGTGTGGGTCTGTCCCCACAGCCCAGGTCACAGGTCGCCCAGTAAGGCCAGCAGCTCCTGTGACCCTCTCCAGGCTCAAGCTCAGCATTTCCTCCCAGATCCTTGCATCAGAACTCGAAGTCTCCTTACGTACAGATTCCAGCCAGCAAGGTGACCCTGGGCAGGCCTTGTCCCTAGGCCTCCAGACCTTGCCCGCAAAGCAAAGCTAATAACAATAACTTCCCTCTGGAAGCCAAGAGTCTGGGCCTCAGAACCTCTTAAGGAAATTAAGAAGAGCCACCGTGCAGGGAGCACCTACACCAGAAGATGGCTTTGCCATTTCATCCATCACTTCTTTGACTGTCCTCACTTGACCAGTGAGAAAACAGAGGCCCAGAAAAGGACAGTGACGGACCAAGGACACACCACAAAGTAGTGCAGAGCCAAGGCTAGGACCCCGACCCTAGAGACCACTCCTCTTCCTCCTCCCCACGAGCACACCCGCCAAACCCGCAGAGGGGCCTGCTCCGTGCTTCTGCCCCGAACCCCTCTATTCTCATATTATTTTTTACAAACAAGAAAATGAGGCTCAGAGGTATTATTCAGTCACCTGCCCAAGGTCACCCAGCCACTCACGTTGGAGCCAGGGATACAGGCGTATGTGATTCCTGGCTCACACCTCTGCCCGGTCCATCATGCATCCTCCTGAACCCCCAGCGGCGGGAGGCTGGGCTTCTCTGAACCTGTCCCAGACCTGGGCTGGTTCAAAGCAGCAAAAAGTTCCTCCCGCCGCTTCCAGCTGAGCACCTGCCCATCAGCGGCACCCTCCTCCTCCCGCCTCCCGCCAAGGAGCCTCCAGGGTGCCAGGGACGGATGCCTTGGCCCCAACTTGTCCTCTGCTCCCTCCGAGTTATGCTCCTCCTTGCAGGGGAGGGAGGGCAGCTCTCCTAGCTTTCCAGGCGGCTGGCAGAGCAGCAGCGGCGGCGGCTGCTCCAGCCTGCTGCCTGGCTGATGGAGAGATTATTTCTAAGCTCTTCCCATTCCCCACCCCGCCCCCCGCCCCTGGCAGGACCACACTGGCTGTCCGGTGGGACCCGGAGTGCGGGCAGAGCCCGCAGCTGAAGCAGGACAGCTGGACCAGCTCTCCCCCACAGCGTGAACCCCTCAGACCTTTCCCTCTCCTGGGGAGAGGGGCTCCTGTGTCCTCTTAAACCCCCACCCCACTCCCCCAGGGCTGTTCTGCAGCTGCTGGTGAGAGAGATGCAGCATGAACGGACTCCGGGTTTCTGGAAGAGACGAGGGAAGAAGGTTGGAAACTAACTCTGCCAGAAACTGCCGTGTTTGGGATTTCCTTGTCTTTCCCTTCACTTCCACCACGAGCCTGTCTCTTCCCGGGACATCGAGACATGGGCTCCTCTGGCTGGGCAGAGAAGCAGCTGGGAACCGGCTCTCTGAGACGGGAGGGTGAGTTGCACTTTGGGGGAAGAAGTTATTGTTTGCTGCACGGGTGGGCGTTGGCGGGACATTGAAACACCCTTGGCCAGAGTGCCGTTCGAGGGACCCCCTCTCCCGTGCTCTGGAAGGAGCTCTGTGTGCCGGCTGTTTCGGGGAGCAGTGGATTGCAAAGTTGGGGTTGTGCTGTGAATGCAGAAAGTGCAGTGTTGGGGGTTCTAGAAAGAGCCCCAGGTTGAGACACAGAGTCCGGGCTGGGTTTGGATGCGTTGTGTGACCTTGGATGAGTCACTTCAGCTCCCCGGGGCTTAATTTTTGCAGCAGGAAAAGGAAAGCGCTTGGGAAGGGCTCCCTGGATTTCAGAAACGCTCTTCTCTCTGCAGGCTGCGCATCTTCCTCTGGCCATACGTTGTAGACGGAGTAATGCATGCAGGATAACCTAAGGTGGTATGGGGAGCAAGTGTGAAATGCATAGGCTGTGATTCAACCCGTCGCTGCCGTCTGCCGGAACCCCACTGGCTCTGAAATGGAGAGGAACTTTGATTCCCATTCAGCGGCCGAGTGTTTCTCTTGATTGGAGTGCATCTTGGAACGTAAGGTTATAGATGCAATGAAAAGCATAGGGCACGGCTGTAGGATGCTGAGAATTACTATGATGGGGGTGATTTTACGAAGGCGTGGGCCACATCTAAAACTCTATCCTCAATCAAGTGCCTCACGTAGGTCTGAAATGGGGAGAGCATTCAAGGGTCCCTCGTTTTGCAGATGACAAGACCGAGGCCCAGAGAGGGGGAGTCACTGGCTCAAGGTCACACAACAAGAGTAGCTGACACAAGCACCCAATATACATAGAGGAGCACCATCATGGAGTGCGCAGTCCTCCACACGAGAAGGCAGGCAAGAGGGATCAGGTGACATTGTAGAGCTTCTCCTGAGAGTCAGATGCCACTGTCACATTCCTTCTCCCGTACCCTTCTGTGCCTCTGTTTCTCCGTATGTAAAATGGAAATAGTAAAGTCGACTCATGGGGTTGTTGAGATGCGTTAACATAGGGAAGCACATACAAGGTGCCCGGCTTGTCCGAAGCATCTGGAACTGTTCTTAATATTCACTCCCTGTATGTTATTGCATGTAACCCTCTTTGTGCCCCAGGAGGTGGGCACTCCAACATCCCTGGCTGCGTAGATGAAGCAAAGGGCTCAGAGTGCCTGGGTAATGCACCTGTAGTGACAGTCCATCAGGGGTCAGAACCTGGCAGTGAACTTGAGAACCTCTGACACACGTAAGCCCTGTTTTTACCAACTGCACCTTTTTCGGGGTTGATGCCAGACTTGTCATGGAATGGATAATGCTGAGATCAGAGAGGTTAAGGTACATGCCCAGGACCACACAGCCTAAAAGGGGCACAGTCCTGACTTGTTCAGCTCAGGACCCAGCTCCTCGAGTCCCAGTCGGTATAATGTGTGTTCCAGGGAGATTTTTCTGAGAGATAAATGTATGCTTCACAGGAAGGGGATGGCAGTGTCTCCCTTTGTTCACGGAAAGATCCCCAGTGAACCCAACACATCTGTGTTAGAAGGCAGATGAAAAGAATGAAACATGCAGATACAGTGGCAGGAAAGTACTAAGCCGTTTTGGGGGAGAAAATGTCTGTAACCAACCAGGACTCTGCCTTGTGACTGATTTCTCTCGTCTTCTTGCTCTCGCCCCTTTGGGTGCCAGGTCATCTATCGCGATGCCCATCCCTTCCAGGGTCAGGGGCCTGCATCCCCGACACCACCACTCCGGCTCCTGCGGCAGCCCGCTCAGTCAGCTCTTGCCTGGCCCCGTGGAGCCCCCGTCCATCAAGGGCCTGTACTACCGCCGGGCCCGGAAGGTGGGCGCGCTGGACGCCTCCCCCACGGCGGACCTCAAGAAGGAGATCCTGGTGAACGTGGGGGGCAGGCGGTACGTGCTCCCCTGGAGCACGCTGGACGAGTTCCCCCTGAGCCGCCTGAGCAAGCTCAAGTTCTGCCGCAGCCAGGAGGAGATCGCGCAGCTCTGCGACGACTACGACGAGGACAACCAGGAGTTCTTCTTCGACCGGAGCCCCAGCGCCTTCGGCATGATCGTGAGCTTCCTGGCGGCCGGCAAGCTGGCGCTGCTGCGGGAGATGTGCGTGCTGTCCTTCCAGGAGGAGCTGGCCTACTGGGGCATCGAGGAGGCCAACCTGGAGAAGTGCTGCCGGCGGAAGCTGCTCAAGAAGCTGGAGGAGCTGGCGGAGCTGCGCCGGGAGGAGGAGTCCCTGCAGCGCCAGCGGGAGGCGGGCGGCCCCGCCGCGGACCCCTCGCGCTGCGGGCTCTGCATGGACTGGCTGCGGGAGACGGTGGAGAACCCGCAGTCCGGGCTGCCCGGGAAGGTCTTCGCGTGCCTGTCCATCCTCTTCGTGGCCACCACGGCGGTCAGCCTGTGCGTCAGCACCATGCCCGACATGCGGGCCGAGGAGGACAAGGTGAGTGGCTTCTGACCAGGGGCCGTGTCCCCTTCAGGCCCCGCGCCCAGGGCCCACGAGATGTAGGGCTAATGAAAATGTGTTTTTTGTTTTTGCTTGTTTGTTTTTAAATATATTTTATTGAGTTGGGGGTTTTTTAAATATATATTTTATTGATTTTTTACAGAGAGGAAAGGAGAGGGATAGAAAGTTAGAAACATCGATGAGAGAGAATCATCGATCAGCTGCCTCCTGCACCCCCCCCCCCCCCCCCCCCCCCCCCCCCCCCCCCCCCCCTGGGGATGTGCCCACAACCAAGGTACATGCCCTTGACCGGAATCGAACCCAGGACCTTTCAGACCACAGGCTGACACTCTATCAGCTGAAAACATTTTTAATGTCTCTGAAAATAAGGGGGGGAGGGGAGGAGGAGGAGTGAATAGTATCCAGCGTGGATATATTCATCTTCAGACCAGTGCGGTTGTATTTCGTGTATTTTTTGCATGTATTATCTGTGGCCCACGAAGGCCACAGTACCATGGGCCACGGAAGTCACGAGGTGGCCCTGCTTCTGATCATGAACCCTGGACACGGACAAAGCCGTCCCTGTTCTCACGGCTCCTGACTCTGTGACCGCTAGCAAACGGCTTCGTTTCTCTCAGCCTCAGTTTCCTTCTCTGTAAAATGAGTACCGTTTCCGTGAGGTTTTACACATTCTGGGCACTTGTGGAATTATCGAGCAGCTGTTCTGTGCCACGCACTATGCCAGGCCACACACGCCTGCCTTCCTGAGCCATCATTCTGTGGGCATCCCAGCTGCATTTTCAGGGGAAGAAACGGAGGCTCGGGGCACTAGCTTGCTCAGAGTTGCAGAGTAAACATGCCCGTGGTGGTAGAGATACTCCGCCCTCACTTTTCCTGCTTGGTCCTTCACGCCTGAGCTCTCAGCCACTCCTGCTGCGTGGGGAACTGGGAGGTGAGCTAACTTTTGTGTCTGCCCCAGGAGGCCAGAGCAAAAGACTCTCTTGCCTACTCCTGGACTCTTTTTCCAGGAGCCAGGGGTCAGATGGTCTAAGAAATAAGACTTAACATGTTTTGGGGAAGGTATTGGAGAGCTTCAAACTGGGACCTGGGTTGATTCCTAGTTTAAAATGTTGCTCCTGCCCAGCTCTATCCTCCTCCATGGCTCCCCATCACCCTCCTTACAGAGCTTACCTTATAGTAGATGGAGAAAACACAACCATAAGGCAGTGCCCCCTGTATATGACTCATAACTGTTGTTAGTCGATGAAAGGTCCCTTCCCTTAAAGATATATCGCATGGCAATATGACAGGATCAGAGAACTTTCCAGATAGAGAGGACTTAGATGGAGAACCAGCTGGTTCCTCACACAGAGTAGGCTCTCAGCTATTATTTGTTTAATAAAATGTATCTTATCCAACGTATACATGTTTAGTCCTAAAGAAAACCAACCAAAATGTTCGACTTTCTAACAGCTCCCCACACCCTTTACCCCCAATAGGGGACTATAGCTCCAATCACAGGCATTTTTTCATTCTTCGGCACGGTATCATGTGATTTAAGATCCTGCCCGTTCACAGGAATATTTACACGTGGACACTGCAGTGAGAGATCAGGACAAGATAACTGGCCTTTGTCCCCCATTTCCTGTACCTCACGGAAATGGTACCCATTTTACGGAGAAGGAAACTGAGGCTGGATTTCCCCCCGCCTGTTCCTCCTAGGGGCTGCCTGGGGGCCAGGATTCAGATGGTGCAGCGGGACAAGGTCTTTTCAAAGCCCACGGCTCTGAAAATCGCCCAGGCTGTGAGCCCACGCTTAGTTTAATGGAAACTCAGAAAATCAAATGAGCGGTGGGCGAGAGGCCGCAGAGCCAGGCAGCCCCGAGGCGGAGCGGAGCCATCAGCTGCCTCCTCTGCTCCGGGTTAAAGGGTGTCTGTCACCTTGGGAAGCCCCCTGTCTGTACGCTGCCCCCAGAGAGGCTGAGAGGCATGGCCCTCAGAAGAAGGTGCCTGCTTCCCCGCTTTGATAATCACAGCCATTCAGAGAGCCTGGAGCGCTGAGGACAGGGCTCTCACGTCCTTACATTTACATAAAAAGATGATGTTCTCTCCCGGCCACACATTCCTGGCGTTTTCATTTTTGCCCCCAAGGATGTCAGCCTGAACGCAGTGAGCTGAGGGCATGCTGGCCACGCTGGCAGGCTGCTTCTGGGACTGGCTGTGCGGGGAGGCACAGGGCTCAGCGGTCCCCAGGGACCCACCACCACCCGCTCAGCTGGATTAATGCCACCTGGCTAGGACCACAGAAACACCCCCTCCCCCTTCCCCCCATCAGACTCGAAAAGTATAACGCTGGGCTGGGTGGAGAATTAGAAGACACCGGAAGAAAGCAGTCTTCCCTTTCCCGTCTCTTCTAACTTCTCGCAGCAACATCCCTTAGAGAAAACGTGGCAGTTGGGGTGAAAGGTCTGTGCCCCAAATTACAGATGGAGGAGGGAGGAGCCAGTATAGATAGAAAGGACCAAGCCAAGTGCCCAAGCACCTCTGGAAGCACTCAGTCCGTGCTGGGTTCCCCCAGGGAGCTCATCTCTGAGTGGATGAAAGGACGGTGCTTGTTAGTCACCCTCATGGGGCTGGCATTTGACAGACCAAACCAAGTCCTTGCGACAGCTTTGGAAAGTGGATACATGGCTGCCCCCATTTTACAGGTGAGGAAACTGAGGCTCGGGGAAGTTGGATCGCTTTCTGAAGGTCACAGTATGTGGCAGTACCGGACTTGCATCACCTCTGCTTGGCTCTAAAACCGGCCTCCACTGCTGGGCCACTCTGCCTGCAGTCCGGATCCTTGGCCTCCCTAGCACTTAGCGTTTCAGAGGCAGCCAGTCCTTGTGAGGTGCTTCTCTGACTGGTGTGATGGTTCAGACCACAGACACTCTGGGATTGAATTGCCCCTTTTATGACCTCATTGACCTCAGAAAAGTCAACCTGGTTGAGCCTCAGTTTCCACATCTGTAAAATGGGGATGTGATTAGCCCTTTTCTCAAGGGGTGAAGGTGACTTATTTGTGTAAGCAGTTGGAACGATGCTGACACATAAGAAGTGGTCAATAAAAATTAGCTGTCATCGTCATTATTCACTTATTCAGTACTTGTTCATAGGAAATCACAAGTTTTTTTTAAAATATATTTTATTGATATATTTTACAGAGAGGAAGGGAGAGGGATAGAGAGCTAGAAACATGGATGAGAGAGAAACATCGACCAACTGCCTCCTGCACACCCCCTACTGGGGATGTGCCTGCAACCAATGTACATGCCCTTGACTGGAATCCAACCCGGGACCTTTCGGTCTGCAGGCTAACGCTCTATCCACTGAGCCAAACTGGTTTCAGCTGGAAATTACAAGTTTTATTGATTTTTAGAGAGAGAAGAAGGGAAAGGGAGAGAGAGATAGAAACATTGATGAAAGAGAAGCATTGACGGGCTGCCTCCTGTATATCCCCTACTGGGGGGATCAAAGCTGCAATCTAGGCATGTGACCTAATCAGGAATCGACCTCTTGGTTTATGGGTCGGTGAAGCTCAACCACTGAGCCACACTGGCCAAGCAAAATTAAGCATCTGAAAGTGGACCATTAATACAGTGGCAATTAAGTACATTCACAGTGTTGTGCAGTCGACACCTCTGTCAAATTCCAAAAGAAACCCCTGTACCTATTAGGCAGTCACTCCCCATCCCTCTACCCCACCCCACCACACCCCCAGCCCCGGCAACCACCAATCTGTTTTCTGTCTCCATGGATTTTCCTCTTCCAGACATTTCATTTACGTGGAATCATGGAATCCGTGGAATCATGGAATCACAGTGAAGTATTAGCTGAGTAATACTTCCCTGTGACGTCACGATTTGCTTATCCTTCCATTTGGTGATGAATGCTGCAGCTTTCCAAGTTCTTTGCTTCCCTCTGCCCATGACCTCTGCCAAGACTGTCAACTCTGTCATTCACTCAGCGCCCTTCCACAGGGCCGCAGCCCTCGCCCGGCAGGTCTGCTGGTCAGAGCACCCTCCTCCCCCCTGGGGGAGCTGAAGGTCACTGTCAGCTGCAGTCGAACACTCATTCGTCCTCTCTCCACCTCTTTCTTCCTCTGTGCTGTTCCTGCGACATCCCGACAGCTGCAGACAGAGTCTCACCATGGAGAGGAGCCAGGTCTCTGTGTTGCTAGTCCTGGGTTCACATCCCAGCTCGGCCGTGCCCTGGCCCTGTCCTTGGACAGTCCCTCCGTTTCTCTGTGCCCGTTTCCTCACCAGTCAGAGTGGGTAACCTTAATGCCTACTCAGAGGGTGGTGATAGGATTGCATGATCCTATTAATATTTATCATGAGCTGGCACAGAGCGAACCCCGCTGTTTTTGCCCACCGTTTGGGACTCAGCTCACTCCCCTTCCACCTGCTCATCTGCTTTGCTCATCAACTTCTCTCCCAGCTCCTCGAACCCAAATGGCGGCGGCCAAGTCAGCGGCCAATTCACTCAAATATCTTCTGTTTCCAGTGCCCGTCGCCATCCTTCATGCAATCGCAGATCTTCCCTGAGGGCCTACACAGTGCTGGGGACACAGTGTGCTGGGGACACAGTGGGGACAGGCACAAACCTGCTCTCTCTCTACCTACCTGGCAGCCTTTGCTCATTTCTCCTCCCACCCTGGATCTGCTCCTGTGCCCGAGGTCTGCTTGGTGCACACGCCGGATTGTGGCTGCGCACAGTGCCCTGGTCCCAGGTCCCAGGTGGGGCTTCGGGTGGGACCCCGGAGCTCTGCTTCTCACTGGCCCTCACATCCTGCGCTGTGGCTCAGGCCTCTCGCTAAGGGGCAGGGCCGGGGAAGGAGCACAGAGAAGTGTTTTTAAAAGACCAGGCGGAACTCCTGGGGACCCGGTGAACCTGCAGCAGGCTGCCCAGAGGCACAGGTGGGGGAAATCACAGGCAGGAGGAGGGAGGCAAGG